GTGCGGGTCCCGGTGCCGGTGCCGGTCGGTGTCGGTGCGGGTCCCGGTGCCGGTGCCGGTGCCGGTGCCGGTCGGTGTCGGTGCGGGTCCCGGTGCGGGTCCCGGTGCCGGTGCCGGTCGGTGTCGGTGCGGGTCCCGGTGCGGGTCCCGGTCCCGGTGCCGGTGCCGGTGCCGGTCGGTGTCGGTGCGGGTCCCCGTGCGGATCCCGGTGCCGGGGTCTGACGGCGCGGGTGCCGCCGCAGGTGCCGCGTACAGCAGTGGGACTCGGAGGAGCCGGTGCCGCGGGCCGAGCTGCTGTCACGCGTGGCTGGGATGCGCGGGCTCCTCTGCCTGCTCTCCGACCGCATCGACCGCGAGGTGCTGGACGCGGCCGGTGGGTGCGGGTCCCCCCTTCCCTCCGCCTCCTTCCCCCGGGCCACCGGCACAGGCTCGGCAGCGCTGCTCGTGTCTTGCAGGGCCCAGCCTGAAGGTCATCAGCACCATGTCCGTGGGCTTCGACCACCTCGCTCTGGACGAGATCAAGAAGCGGTAACGCCACTGACCCCCCTGCTGACCCTCGCACCTCTGACCCCCCGGCTCTGGCAACCCTCACCCTGCGATCCTTCCCTCCCTGTGCCACTCTGCACCCCTTTCCTAGAATAACCCTCTGCCGGTTCCTTCTGGCAGATGGGCTCCCACAGAGCGTGGGGATGGTTGGGTTGGCCAGCTGCAGGCACTCCCCTCCCGGCAGATCACTGCTGGGGTCACCCCACCCCGCCTGGGCTGGAGGAGCCTCTGGGTTCCACGGCAAGGCAAAGACAACCTGGGGAAAGGGTGTGGCGGGAGGCCTGAGAGACAAAGGGATGTCCCCCAGCATCTGGGCCAGGTTTAGTGTTGGCAGCCAGCCCGGAGGTGCCAGGGGAGCACCCCGAGGCTGCCCCAGAGCCCCCTCTGTCTGGGCAGGGGTATCCGCGTGGGGTACACCCCTGACGTCCTGACCGACGCCACTGCGGAGCTCTCGGTGGCCCTGCTGCTCTCAGCGTGCCGCCGGCTGCCCGAGGCGGCCGAGCAGGTCAAGAGGTGAGTGCCAGCTCTGGGTGGCCCGAGCTCCAGAGCTGAGCCACATGGGGCTGGGGACGCAGGGCCAAGGCCAGCATTTCATCCAGCTCACACCTGGGCTGGGCTCTGAGCAGGCTCTCCCTGACATCTGTTCCTGTCCCATTCTCCCTGCCAGTGGCGGCTGGACAACCTGGAAGCCCCTGTGGATGTGTGGATATGGCCTGTCTGACAGCACAGTGGGCATCATTGGGCTGGGCAGGATAGGTGAGTGCAGCTCAGGGGCCAGGTTTCTGTATCTCCAGCAGCAACAGGGTGGCTTTGGAGCTTCACCTTTAACCTAAGCCAGTGGAAGGGGTCCCTGCCTGTGGCAGGAGGTCTTTGCAGTCCCTTCCAAGCCTGGGACTTCCCAGTCCTGTTCTGGGACTCTGACTCAGCCAAGGTGCTGTCCCCAAGGGCCACCTGTTTAAACGTGAGCACAGCACGGGGAGCTGCACATCAGCCTCGCCTGGAGCCACCAGCTGGCTCATCAGGCTTCAGCCTTAAAAGTCTCAAGCATTCAGGTGACTCCACCACCTGCAATCCCTGCAACAACCTGTACCTTGTCCTCCTGGCCCCCGGTTAAACAAACGGTGGCAAAGTCCACACGGCACTTGGTACCATCCAGCTGTGGACTTTACCAGCAGGCAGCTGGGCCTGTCCTTGCTCCCCAGTTTGCTCCTGAGGGCAGCTGTGGGTTCAGTGTCCCATGGGCCCTTTTCCACAGCAAAACACCTCCATTCCCCACCCTGTTGTCCAAACTGGGAGCAGCCAGGCAGGAGTGATCCCAGCGCAGTGGCCCTCCCGTGGCTCCAGGAGCTGGTCCCTGTGCAGCTCCTGGAGCCGTGGTGGCCTGACACCCTTCCCTGTCCCTCCTAGGGCAGGCAGTCGCCCGGCGCCTGAAGCCATTTGGAGTCAAGAAGTTTCTGTACACTGGCAGTGGCCCAAAACCAGAAAGTGCAGCAGAGTTTGGGGCTGAGTTTGGTAAGGACAGCACTGGGTCAGGGCCAGCATTGGCGGCAGTCCCAGAGCACGGTGGCGGGGACAGCTCCATGGAGGTGTCACTTGCAAGGCGGGCCAGCAGAGGGAGGGCACCAGCTGGGAGTTGTGGGGGGCTCCTTGGGGTGCCCAGTGTGAGGGGGCAGCGAGGGAGGAAATACCAAGTCCCAGACAGGCCCCACAGGGTGGTGGGGGGTGACAGGGAGGCACCTGCCTTCACTGACCCAGGCAAAGACTAGACATGCAGAGGCTCATCAGACCCCTGGCAGAACCATGGGCTGTAGCTGTTCTGCCACTGGTGCCCTTCTCTGCATCCATCCATTGGTGATTAGTTTCATTCCCACAAGGAAGTGGGACACAGTGGACAGGGAGGGAAGGTGGCAGCTGCTCCTGCGAGGAGGGGAAGGATCTGGGGACTGTCCCCAGGGGCTGAGCACCAAGGTGTCCTGACAGCAGAAGGGGTCAGGCTGCAGCTGCCCATGGAGCTTTGCTGAGGGCAGGTGTCAGCTGCAGCAGGACATTCCTGTGTTCCTTCCCTCAGTCCCACTGACGAGGCTGGCCGAGGAGTCAGACTTTGTGGTGGTAACCTGTGCGCTGACGCCAGCCACCCAGGGAATGTGCAACAAGGACTTCTTCAGCAGGATGAAGAAGACTTCTGTGTTTGTCAACACAAGCAGGTACTGGCAGCCCAGTCCCCTGCCTGGGAGCATGGCTGTCACCTCGCTGGGCTGTGGATGCAGAGGATCTGCTGTGAGTCCAGACAGCATGTACAGTCTTAGTGGCTGCACACACTGGAATTGTTTTCCCAATTGCCTTGTGATCCATCCAAAGGCAAGATAAGTTATTCAGGGAGCACACAGCTCTTCCCCCACTGCAGGCAGCCAGAGCGGGAACAGCTCACTGTGCTGGGAGGTTCAGACACACCCAGAGCGGGTCTGAGCTCCATCAGGCAGCCCTGGGGGCCTGCTGCCACCGCCTGGGCTGTCCCAAGTGTGGCCCTGGGGGCCTGTGGGAGCCTTGGCAGTGACGCCAGCCTCTGTCCTTGCGCTTGCCAGGGGGACCGTGGTGAACCAGGAGGACCTGTACGAAGCGCTGTCCCAGGGCCGGATCGCTGCTGCTGGCCTGGATGTCACGACACCAGAGCCACTGCCCACTGACCACCCCCTGCTCTCGCTCAAGAACTGTGGTGAGTGTCCAGCAGGGCAGCCAGAGCCCGGCTCTGCCAGGCTGCCCACACTGGCAGGGATCCCTGGTCCCTGTTACCCCTCGGGTGCCAGGGAAGCATGGAAGGACAGACAGGTCAGGTATATTTGATTGGGCTGTAGGGAGCTACTGTACATTGTGGGGGTCTGCTGTGGGATAAGAACTCATCAATGTAATGGCAAACAAGTGTGGGAGCTGTTTTAATTCTCCAGAAAGCCACCCATACCAGCTCAGGTTTAGCATCTTCCTGGTGGGTCTCCGTTCAGTGTGTGAAATTCACGGAGGGTCCAGTACCAGCATGTGCCTCACTATGAGACCAAATTGCAGCTCAGGCTCTGCCCAGCGCAGGTAATCTGTAAGCTCCTGGGCATATACTCTGCTAGAAAAGCTTCTGGGATGGCTAAAGTGGGTCTCTGAGTCTGCCCAGAGGAGTCTCGGCCTCGGGAGTGCTGGCTGGCTGGCTAACCTGCCGGCCTGTCACCAGCCCAGGCAGCCTGTTACCTGCATGGTACCAACCAGGTGGGAAGGGCAGGGGCAGGGCTGACACCTGTCTTCTCTGGAGGAGGATGAGTCAGGTGACGAAGGATGGCTAAGAGGGGGCTTGCTGGGCTGTTCTAGTGCAGGATGTCTTCTTTCCAGGGAGGACATTCCTGGAGTAGGGAAATTCTGTTCCAAAAAGAAACCATAGGGACATCCATGAAAACTTGGAACCACCCATGACCGAGTGTCTGCTTATGAAATACGAATCTGTAGCTGGTTTTTTTTTTTTTCATTTATGTTTTTGCTAAAATTCATTTTTTTGTTTGTTTTCTTTGGTTCCCAAAGTAGACAGTGTGGGGAGGGATAGAAGCAGAGACTTTTCTGGAAAAATTTGCAGGACTTGGGAGATTTGAGAGCTCTGGAACAACGCCAAGCAGGACAAAATTAACACGTATTATTAATCAAATATGTAAATTGTAAGAGTAATAGTAATTGTTTATTGCTATGTAAATAACACATGCGTATGTGTTGTACACCGGTCCGCGAAGGTGATGGGTGTCCCTCCTGTCCCCGCAGTGATCCTGCCACACATCGGGAGCGCCACGTACGCCACGAGGAGCACCATGGCAGTACTGGCAGCCAACAACCTGCTGGCCGGGCTGCGGGGGGAGCCCATGCCCCACGAGCTGAAGCTGTGACAGCCCCTGTGGCGCGGCAGGACGGGCCAGCCTGGCCCCTCATCTCTGCGGCAGCCAGGAGCCATTAAAGAGCAGCAGGGAACGTGTGGTGCTAGTGTCATTGGAGAACAGGGTGCCCTGGGCATGTGGGAGAGCACACTGAGGGGGCTGTGGGTCCCAGCAGGCCGTGGATTGGGGTTTGGGTCTGATTTGGGGAGCACTCACCATGTTGGAGCTGCTCTCTGTTCTGCTCACTGGTGTGGGCTATACCACAAGGGAGCTGCTGTGGTACCACCTCTCCTCAAAACCTGTTTGCTGGCCACAGTGAGAGGCCAGCAGTGCCATACCTGAGCTTGTAGCCAGGCAGGGAAGAGAGGTAACAGCCCTGTCAGCACAGCTGCTGCTGCCACAGGAGCTGCTGCCAGCCCACACTTTAAACGGTCCTGTGAAATCAGTGCCGCAGCACAATCCTCTTCCTGAAGTGCCTAAAGAAAGGCAAAAAACAGGCTCGTGCAGCTCACCTGGCACCTCCACCTCTGCCTTTTGTATCCACCGAAAATTCTGGGCATGGCTCCAAAGTGGGTGGCAAACTGGAATTCACCGGGAGGTCCTGCAGGTTCCAGCTGCAGCTCCAGTCGTTTTTCCCAGATGTGCAGTGACTCATTATTGCAACAGAGACCTCTTCCTCCTCCTCCTCCTCTTCCCACTCCATCACACTTCCCCTTGGTGGCCAGTCCCACACAGGAGGACCACAAACCCCTTTGGCACTTCCAGGTTGAATGGTGGCACCAGCAACTAATCCACCCCTCCGAGGTGGGTTGGTACAGGTTTACCCATCCCTCTGCCCCAGGACCTGCCACCTGTGCTTTCCCCCCAGGCTTTCTTCCTGGCAGGGGACAGACAGAAAACTGCCACTTTTTGGCAACAGCAGCATAATGGGAGGGAGGGAGAGGGAAAGGGAGGGAGGGAAGAAGAGAGTGGCCTGCAATGGGCGCAAGGGAGGGAGCCAGAACACAGCACAAAGCCTGTGATGGGAATTAAAGCTCACCCAGTACACTCTGTGCTTCCTGTCCCGTGACAAGGACTCTGCTGGAATTTCTCTGGATGTTCTATAAAGCACTCTCCCACAGCAGTAATGGCTGCTGAAGTTGCTCTGCGCCACACCTCAGAGCGGTTCTGACACATTTATCAGTGAGTTTTGATTCACAGTCCCAGCTGGTTGCCATGTGATGGTCCACTAGAGTGAGTTTTGAAGGTTTCTAACCTGGGCTGACCAGGGAAGGCTCGTGGCTGTGGCAAGGAAGGGAACCAAGCATCCCAACTGGCTGGGGAGTTTCCAACTGACCCAAAAGAAATTAGGATTTACTTTGGTGTGAAAACCCAAGGCGTGAGTCCAGCAGGGGAGTTTACTGTCTCCAGAATTTGAGTATTGACACCGAAGATTCTGCTGGTGGTGATGTTACTGTGATGCTGAGAAGTGCTGACCAAATACCCGAGAGGTTGCTGTGACCCCCGATGACGCGGGCAGCAGTGAACGGGAATAACCTGGTGTCCAGGCAGATGTGTCAGATTGCCCAGGTATGTTCAGAATAGACACGAGCTGGTAAATCAGCTGCCAGAGTGACTGGAGCACATCTCAGGTGTGCATCTCAGAACTCCTTCGAAACAAGCACCTCCTCCACCTGCATCACCCTCCCACAAGGAATTCAGAGTAGGAGTGACCACGGATCATGAACTTGACGGATGCTGTGTAGATATTAACATTATTTCAGTAAAAACATACTAAGAAGTTCTTATGAAGAACTCTACCAGGGACAAAATTATTACCAGGTACAGGCTTTTATAATCACTTTTAGAACCAGGAGTATTTCTGTATAGGCTGGTGTGAAGAGCAACAAACCAGTGAATCTGGTCAGACACAAGCACAAAAATGCAGGGTTTATTTCAGGGTGTTCCAGCGTACTGACACTGAACCCTCCACACAGGACCCAACTGTTTCTGAGTGGAAATCAGGGCAATAAGCTCTCCAGGCTGTGAGGTGAGACACTCTTTGCACAGAGAGGGAACAGCTCACGTCCAAGGTGTTTGTTCATGCCATTCCCAGGAATTTATTGCTCCATTTGGGAAGACTCAGGAAGCAGCTCTGCAGCCATAGGCTCCAGGCCTCTTCACAGGCACAGGGTGTCAATGGACAACAAAATTTAAAGCTGCTGCTTCCAAAAACACTCCAAGTCAAACTTTTTCTCAGAGAAAGAAGACAGAAGTCCTCCTGCACTGTCATTCCACATTAAAATTTTTATAAAAACAGTTTAAAAGTCCAGTTAAGTGTTTATCTCCTTATATTAGTTCTTAATTCCTCACCTTGCTCACACAGATGCTTTATTCCCATGCATTATAAGAAATCAAGAAATTTGGATGTGACGCCAAAAAAACCCCACACCTTCTTTCTAAAAATGAAAGCAGCAGAAATGAAGAAACACAAGAAAATATTAAAGTACAAAATACTGCATTTTATTGATGCTTGGGTGAGTGTTTATGCAGCTCAATGCTGTTAGTCCCCAATACTGAAATTATTATCAAACAAAACATGGCATATCCCAATGCTTCAAAAAACTGCATTTTTTTAATGCTTAAAAAAAAAATCAAGAGCCAGAAATATGACCATTAAGTAAACCCTATAGCAAAGTCTTAACATTTTAAAGGAATTAATCCAACTATCCCCTGTATTTCCATGTTCCTGTTTACTTCAGATGCTCAAGTGCAAATGACATGCTGACAGGTCCAGGGAATCCTCTGTCTCCAACCTGATCCAGCTCCTGCACAGCTGAGCAGCATTCAGCAGCAGCAGAAGTGCTCCAAAAGTTTATTTAAAAAGCTAAGGATGCTGACCACCAGGTCGTGTGCACCTGTGACAAAAGGAGCCTGCAGGCAGTATTAAGTTACAATGGCATCAAAGAATAGGAAATTAAAATGAGATTTACACATCTCACATGGCGAATGACAAATTTCCACTACCCAAAGGGTACAGTGCTATTTTTTAAAATTAAACTTACACTAGTTTTCTTTTAATTTATGTGGAAAAGTACTTTTATGACACTAGTTTAAGTGGAAGGCCTGTATTTGACCATGACATTTTACAGAGAGACATAAATATATGAGTCAGCAGTGCCCTGGCAGCCAGGAGGGCCAGCTGTATCCGGGGGGGTATCACGCCCAGCATCCCTGGCCAGGCCAGGGAGGGGATTGTCCTGCTCTGCTCTGACCTGGGGTGGCCTCGCCTCAATACTGGGGCAGTTTGGGGCACCACAATATAAAAACAACGTGAAGCCACTACAGAGTATCCAAGTGAGGCCATGAGGACGTGGAAGAGTTTGGAGGGGAAGCCTTATGAGGAACAGCTGAGGGCACTTGGTTTGCTCAGCCTGAGGGAGACTGATGTCAGATGTCATTGGGGTCTTCAACATCCTCCAGAGGGGCAGCACCGATCTATTCACTCTCAGGACTAGTGACAGGACTCAGGAGCTATGTCAGGGGAGCGTTAGGTGGGATCTCAGAGAAAGGTTCTTCCCCTGGAGGGTGGCTGGGCACTGAACAGGCTCCCCAGGGCAGCAGTGACAGCCCCACAAGGCTGTCTGAGTTCAAGAAGTGTTTGGACAACAGTCTCAGGCACGTGGTGGGATTCTTGGGGTGTCCTGTGCAGGGCCAGAAGCAGGACTCAATGATACTGATGGGTCCCTTCCAGCTCAGGATATTCCGTGATTCTATGAGATATGGAAAACGAGGATTGTTCCCGCCAGTTTGATCCGAGGAACAATCCACAACTGTGAAGGGAAGTCAGTAAGTGTGCAGAGGAGGAAAGTAAAGGCTGGAGATAAGAGAAAAGGACAACATGCTCACACAGTAACGGGGACCAGATGGACTGTCGGCATCTGGAAACAGAGGGAGACTGTCTTACACGGCTAACAAAGCCATCACAAATTACCTCCCTCCTTCAAAACAACAAAGACAAGCTCTGTTCAGACTTCTGCCTATATAGAATTGTAACAGGAGATACAAACCGGTTAAAATACTGCTAGGAAATAGCACAAACAAGAGACAGTACTTCACTTATCACTTAATACGTGTTTCTACGGGAAAAAAACAAAAAGTCAGCCAAACATCCAGATCTTGCTGTATTAAAGATATATGTACACCTGGCAGTCCAAAAGTTACTTGTCTGGGATTTAATTTAAGCACCTTGGTTACACAGTGTCCTTTACTACAAAACAGCCAAACATACATTCATAATCCTAGAACTATTGTTATAATAAGCGTATTTGAAAGCATTATGTCAGACAGGTGCAGCCAAAAGTGTTTTTCTCTTTTAAAGGTAAGTGGTCTGCTCCACTGTCCACACATAATGCAGCAACTCATGTTACAGTAATTATTTAAATGCTTTCACTGTTACAAAATGCTTTAGAGGAGAAAAAAAAAAAAAAAAACACACAAAAAAAAGGAAATTTGCACTTCAGTTTCTGGTTCTCTAAACGTGCTATTTCACAAGACCCCCACGCTGTCACCCCTCTGCCCTGCAAAGGGGGTGCTTGGCTGTGGGGGGGTCACATCCCCATGCCCGCTGCACGGCTCGACACCCCGCGAGGTAGTACCGGATATCCCCAAAGGCAGAGCCAAGCTCTGTGTGTGTGGCACCACCGCGTGCAGTGTGCGCCCGCCCCGCCGCCGCGGCCCCGGCCAGCGCCCTAGAGCAAACTGCTGGGCAGGTTGCTGCTCTGCCACCTGAGGCAGGTGGTCTTGGAGTGTTTGTAGAGGTGGCTGGACTGGCTGAAGCGCTTCCCGCACTTGAGGCAGGCGTAGGGCTTCTCCCCCGTGTGCACGCGGATGTGCTTCTTGCAGTCCGTGAGCGTCAGGAAGGTCTTGCAGCAGATCTTGCAGGCGTACTTGCGTGCCCCCTCCACCACCAGCACGTTGTGCTCCGACAGGGCCTTCTTGCACTTGGACAGCACGTCTGCGGACGCCCTGGTGAGCTGCGGGGGGCCGGGCTGCGACAGGTGCCCGCTCTCGAAGGATGTGCTCCCGTTCATCAGCAGCTGGGACCCGGACGAGCTCTCCTGCAGCTGCGAGCCCCGCACAGAGGTCACCACGGGCATTTTGGGGGCGATGCGGCGGTAGCCGGGAAAGCCACCGGCTCCGCCTCTCACCGAGCCCATCATGGCCCGGGACAGCGAGTGCAAGCCCAGGCCTGAGCGTGGGAAGTCCATGCCAAACTGCTCCGCTGCCCGGTACCCCGAGCTCTGCACGCAGGGCAGACCCATCACATCCTGCATGGGCCTCACGAAGTGGGAGTCTGCGGGCTCGCTGAACGGGTTCTCCACGTGGGAGACAGTGGCGGACGAGTGGCCACCAGCAGGCCCCGACTCCGGGCTCATCAGGTAAGAGGTGTCGCTGTCCATCCTGCAGTCACTGGTGGTGTTGGGAATGTTGTCGTCGCTGTTTTGACTGGCTCCAAAGCCACTGCCTCTGCTTTTATTGAGAAAATTTGAAATGCTGAAAGACGACTTGTGTTCCAGGTTGTTGGACACCTCCATGATGTGGATGTCTCCCACCCTGTCGGTGCTGGACTGCGGGTCAGAGAAGCTGCGGTCGCTGCTCTCAGGACTCAGCTCGATCTTCTCTGCACTCACCACTCCTCCTTCCACCTCCACAGACTCACTGCCCTCTGCCTGGGAGGTGACATCGCTCACCTCATCCTGGGGCTCTGGGGAGCTCAGGGGCTCAGACTTCACCACCACCCTCATGTGCTCCTTCTCGTTCAGGCTGACCTCCTGATTCTCACACGGGAAGTTGCTCTTTTCAGCAGCAGCCTCCTGGTCAAAGCTGGTCTCCACTTGTGTGGCCTGGGATGCCATGGACATCTGGGAAATATTTGCCCCGCCGTTGTCTGACTGGCTGGGCACTTGAGCATCCTCCTGAGCACCGAAAGACTGGTCAAACATGATCGTGTTGTCCTCCTGGTTATCGGCAACGGCGTCAGCCTTGGAGTTGTCCACAATCTTCAGCGAGTCCGGAGAGAAGAAATCCTCGCGCGAGTGGACGGGCTGGCCGCCCTCTGCGGCCACGTCGGCGCCGGGCTCCTCCATGGCGGGCCGGACGCGCGGCCGGGCGCGCTCCTCGGAGGGCGGCTTGCGCTTGTGCAGGCGGCGCATGGGGAAGGCGGCGCGCTGCTCCAGCCCGCCCCGCACGGGGCCGGGCGGCTCCTCGGCGCCCTGCGAGGAGCCCAGCGCCGAGCTGACGATGCTGAGCCCCAGCTGCTGCAGCATGAAGGAGCGCTGCAGCCGCGCGCTCTGCTCCTGCGCGCGCTCGCTCGGCGGCGACAGCGGCAGCGTCCGCGTGGTCAGGTAGTGCTTGCAGGCCTTCACCACCGAGTTGAGGTGCAGGTGGGACGCGGCCAGCAGCACGTCCATCACGTTGCTCTCCCCCAGCATGAGCGTGGAGGTGTACATCATGTCGATGAGCGCGGCGAAGGCCTCGGCCGTCACCACCTCGCTGTCCAGCTGGATCATGTTCATGGTCTGGTCCCCCTCGGCCACCGTGAACAGCGCGCGGAAGTGGGTGCTGCACGCAGCCAGCACGGAGCGGTGCGCCTTGAAGTGCCTGTTCCCCACCACGATGACGCAGTCACAGAGCTGGCCATGGAGCCTCTGGTAATTGAGCTGCTGGAAGACTTGCTCAAAGTGTCCTGGGAAATCCATGATCCTACAAAACAGAAGAAACCGTTAGAGGGGCCACCAAGTCGATCTCCTGCAAGGAAAGGATGAGTGAAATGGAATTGTTCAGCCTGGAGAAGAAAAGCTTCAGGATGACCTAACTGGACCTTCCAATAGCTGAAGGGGCCTACAAGAGGGATGGGGCAAGACTACTCACAAGGGCCTGGAGTGACAGGACAAGGGGGAATGGATCAAATTGAAAGAGTAGCCTTACATTAAATATTAGGAAGAAATTCTTCCCTGTGAGGGTGGTGAGGCCCTGGCACGGGTTGCCCACAGAACCTGTGACTGCCCCATCCCTGGAAGAATTCAAGGCCAGGTTGGACTGGGCTTGGAGCAACCTGGGATAGTGGGACAGAGATGAGCTTTAAGGTCCCTTTCAACTGAAACCAGTCTGTGATTCCATGGCTGAAGGTCACAGTCAGGCTGCAGCAAACCTGCGTTTAAAGAGGAAAGATGACAGCTGCAAGACAGACAAACAGTAACTGATCTGAATTTGCCACACCACACGGGTACAAGATCAAAGCTGGCAGTCTGGAGAAGGAGGAGCAAAAGGAGAAGGAAGAAAATCCAGGTTCTGCCACAGAGCTGACCTCAGCACCAGCCATGTCACGGTGCTGCAAACCAAACAACACAGATCATCTCGCCCCCTTAGCACCCATCCGAACTAAAACAACTCACTAGTAAAACATTTAACCCTGGTTTGTAAAATGATCTGATTGCAAATAACCTGCTGCACCCTTTGACAAACTGCTCACACAATTAAGTGACCTCCCACAGAAACTCCTGGACTTTAATCCTCACCCCACAGGGCTCAGAGGGAAGTGATGGGAAGTTTTGGTATAACAAAAACTTGAGCAAAAACCAAATTTTTTAACAAAAATAGGAGCTGCTCAATGAGACAATCAGACAGACTGAGGGGTGGATTTTTTTTAACTGTCCATTAATAGAACATAAGTCATATCTTAGCAGACTCATCTTAAGACTGAAGGGGTGATTTTTGGCAATGCCTCTACTTCTGAAAAACAATTAAGTGTAAGATTTTGGGAGCAGAAAGGCTGCATGTCCAAGGCAAACACACACATTCCTGTCCTCACATTTATTTTCCAACGGCAACACCACAGTACCACTGGACATAAGGAGACCATAAAGCAGCTGAAATAAAAGGTCACACAGAGAGAATTTTGCTTTTGAGGAGGGATCAAATGTGAGTCTGCCAATTCAGAAAGTCCATTTTCAAGCACAGTGTTTGCTGCTTTTCTAAATAAGAAACAGGAACACAAATAATACATGAATGCATTTATCTTACACTGCCAATGAGTGTTCAGGAGTAAAAACAAGACAACATTTTCAAGCAGAGCAAAAGGAATGAAGCTGGACTCCAGGAAGGAATGTGGGTTAAAGGGATGGTCCAAGCACTTCTGCCCAGGCAGCAACACGCATTTGGAACAGAAGAGATGGGGAAGAGTTGTTGTTTTGACCGATCATTTGGGATTTCAAAATTCTGAGGGAGTCCTGCTTACAGGCACCAAAAGTGATTGCATCCTCTGTGCACCTGAAACAAGACAAACTGCAGTGCTCTTTCCAATAACATGGATTTGGCTTGCTAACTCTCACTACACAGAAAGGCTGGAGCTCTCGGGCCAGAACTAACACACACAGACTCCAGGGTGACGCAGAGACCTTGTTCCCACAGGAGAGGGAACTGCACAGTTCCACAGCCAAACAAAGGACTACAGGTGAACACACAACACAGCAAACTGTCGAGCTACAAGGAGTTTTACTATAAAAGCAAATAGTCAGAGCCAAGAAAAGTTTAAGGCCAAGCACTGAAAAAGATCTACAAAATCCTGACTGGAAAACCACCATCCTGCCTGTCCCTGGATCAGGACTGTGCCACAGAACTACAGGTACTGGATTCCCACATTTCTTGCTGAAGTTGTGTCTAGAACTAGATTCTGAAAGAAATCACAGAGTCGTGGCTAATTCCTTTATTCTCCGACATGACCCAAAATCCCCTATAAGGTAAGGGACATGTGTTGACACAATCATGTGGCAGAAGGGCAGCGCAGGTTTTTCCACAGGAATTCAGGTTTTATCAGCACAATTTCTACTACACTTAATGGCCACAATTTCTTCTCTGGGTTTCCATTCCTCGGAAATAGATGACTGGCACAGATGATTACACTGCAGCCCTGACCCACTGTGGGGAGGTCAAACACACACACAGCAAAAGCAACAAACAAAAATTAAATGCAACCTTCAGTTCCCCCTAAAGAGGCTTCTAAGAAGTTTGCCAAGTAATCAGTTTTGTGTCACCAAAGCCATCAATAAGAGCTGTCTCAGCTGCACTGTTCAGAGCAGTACCCAGAGAAATCTCATGTACAGAAAACCTCAGGCCAAGGCACTTGTCCTTCACTGACCTGGTGAGGAAAGACCAGTTTATGACTTGCACCTGAAGCCCAACAATCTGTACTTAAACGCATTTGAAGCTCAGAGTGCCAAGCCCACGGGAATTCCTGGAATCCACAGGACTAATGTGCCACAAGTACCTAACTGTTCGATTCACACCCGACACAGCACCACCACCCAGAGCTGAACCTCGGGGCCTGAAGGGACAGGCCTCGTGAGAAGCTTCCCTGAGGCCTGAAACACAAACACAGACCCAGCCAGGAGCTGGGGGTGCTGCTGTTCCCTCAGTAAACACCCTGTGCTCCCAGGTGTGCTGTGCTGGACCAGCCAGCGGGAAAGGAGTCTCTGTTCTGACCCCTTCCTGCCCTGAGTCACCCCCAGGAGGGACAAACTGCACTGCCACCCCCAGGCAGAACAGAGGAGCAGCTCACTGTTCTCCCAGCACCTGGAATGTGCCACAGGTCATCCAGCCCACAGCAACTCCAGCTCAGGAACAGGCAGTGACAGCAGAGCTGGGACAGCAGCCATAAAAACCTTCCCCAACAAAGAGCAGGTTTCTCCCAGACATTCCTGGTCACCTCCAGAACAGACACCACCTATGGCACAGGCATCCTCCTGCTTCCCAACACTCCTCCCAGCCCCGGGTACCTCCCTTCAGGGGGCACAGACACTGTGGCACCCCCGTGACACACACCTGTGCTGCCCCTCACTGTCACCCAACCCAGCCATGGTCCCTCTCAATCCTTCTGACCCCAGAGTGCACGATCCACCCACCCTCCTCCTTCTCCTCCTCCGGGCCATGGGGGAGCAAGGAAGGGGAAAACCTTGTGAGCTCACTGAATATTCTGAGCTGGAAGGGCCCCACAAGGACAGTAGAATCCAACTGGCCCTGCACAGACACACGGACAACCCCATCGTCTGTCCTCGGATGGAGTCAGGACACGGAGATCATTCACCAGTTACCACCCGAAACACTCGGTTCGGGGATTAACTAATTTAAAGCCTTTTAAAGCTCCAGAACGTCCAATGGCTGCTAGGTGACAAGGGCTGCTCCTGCTCTCCTGAGGGCAGAGCCTTTTTCCCCCCTTCCCTCCCCCTTTTCTCTCCTTTTGTGCCTCACCTGGAACATACAAGTTCTGTGTCCCTCTCAGGGCAGCACCTGCATCCCAGCGCTGCCTCAGCACCGGTAAAAACAGCCGGAGACTCCGTTCTGTGCCGCTCGCGGGACATACAGAGGAGCCCGGAGAGCCCCGGTCCCGCCCCGACGGGGGGGTCACCGGCTCCCACGGCCCCGCCGCCCTCCCTCTCTCCGCCCTCCCGCTCACCTGCGGTGTCCCGCGGCAGGGCCGTGCGGGAAGCAAGGGCCGTGCGGGGATGAGCTCGGGATGGGGCTCGGGATCGGCCCGGGATGGGGATCGGGATGGGGATCGGCCCGGCCCGGCCCCGCTCCCGCCGACACGGCCCCGCCCGCTCGAGCGCGTCACTTCCGCCCGCCGCGCCGCACGCGCCCCGCCAACAGCCAATCGATGGCCTCGTTATTTATAAGCGGCAGCGGCTTCCCCTCCCGACCAATCGGGGATGAGCTTATTGGCGCTGCCGGAGGGAGTGGCATCGCGGTCGCGGATCCTGGAGCGGAGCCCGGAGCCGGAAGCGGGGAACGAGGAGAGGGGAACGAGGAGCGGAGCCGGAGGCGGGAACCGGGAGCGGGGAGCGAGGAGCGGAGCGGGAGCGGGGCCGAGAGCGGAGCCGGAAGCGGGAAGCGGAGCCCGGAGCGGGGAGCGAGGAGCGGAGCAGGAGCGGGGAGCGGAGCGGGAGCGAGGAGCGGAGCCGGAAGCGGGGCCGAGAGCGGAGCCCGGAGCGGGGCCGAGAGCGGAGCCCGGAGCGGGGCCGAGAGCGGAGCCCGGAGAGGGGCCGAGAGAGGAGCCCGGAGCGGGGCCGAGAGAGGAGCCCGGAGAGGGGCCGAGAGAGGAGCCCGGAGCCCCCTCGTCCCTCTCGGCCCTCGCCATGGCCGCCGCCACCTGGCGCTACCGCGGGGACCTCGGTGCGGAGCGGCCCGCGGCGCTCGGTGAGCGGGGCGGACCGGGGTGCGAGGGGGTGCCGGCCCTTGCCGGGGCTCACGGGCTCCCTGTCCCGCAGTGCGGTTCGCCAACGGGAGGCTGCGGAGCCCCGAGTCCCTGCGCTTCACCGTGTACCGGAGCCGGGACACGGCGCATCCCCGAAAGAAGCACCGCAGGATCCTGGTAAGGGCCCGCCCCGGGACGGTCCGAGCAGGCAGATCACCCTCATCTCGAGGTGCTTTGATAGGAGGGTTAGGCTGTCATGTGGCTGGTGGAGCTGCACGGTGGGGGAGGCAGAGCAGGGACCTGCCCCAGGTCATGGAACCTGTTGTGTTCTGTTCACACATGACAGCCTAACCCTGGTTTCCCAGGTCTCGGAGACGGAGCGGCTTTGCTACGTGGGGCACAATTTCGGCAGCGGGGTCATGAAGTGCAACTCCCTGTGCAGGTATGGAAGAAGGAGCTGGGAGTAGAGAGGGGCTGGTTCCTTCCTTGGGCCTGGCTCAGAGCTGTGAAGGGACCTACATTTCACCTGATTTACTTGTCTTAAGACTTTTTCTACATTTACTTAGAGCAGTGAGATGTTATGTTTTTGTATGTACACATGCCTTGGAGGTAACTTGGTTGTCATGACATTCCAAATGTGCAAGGCAGGAAAAGTGGCAGGGGTGGGAAGACAGCGTGGTTTAAATCATTTCTGGTCCTCCCCAATCACTTGACCCTGTTCTCCCCAGGTACTTTGTGGGTGTGCTGGACAAGGACTCTGGGCAGATGGAGGTCTACAATGCCGAGATGTTCAACATGCAGCCCCTGCTCTCAGGTGGGAGGTGCTGGCTGTTGCCCCAGCCCACGCCAGGCCTGTATGTGCCTCCAGCTCTCAGTTGCTCTGTCCTCCTCATTCCTGCCTTGTTCCCTCAGCACGGAGGGAGGAGGATGCCTTCACCTCTGCACGCTGTGAGGAAGAGCAGGAAAGGGGAGCACAGTGAGCTCAGAGTGGAGGTTAAGCAGGGAGTGTGAAGGGTGGGAGTCAGTGTCCCTGCTCAAGTGCAGCTTTATCTGGGTGTATTCTGCTGAGGGAGGACTGGATCTCTGAAAAACAATAAACCAAGTTGTCTTCAGCAGAACTAGTTTTTGTCACAGGACCCAGCAGGGTAACCTAAAGATCAGGTCTTTTGGAGCTGCTTTTCACTCTGTTAAGGGGGACCTGGGTTTGGCCACACTCCATTGCACCCGTAGGCTTTATAACAAAAGCTCCTTTTTTGTCGTAGTTTCTCGTATTTGGTGAGCTCTTTTAAGTGGCCAAGCCCTGTGGAATTGATCCTGATGTGATGTGTCAAGTCTGTCAGTCACTGAAGGCATTCCTGTCCTGGCTGCTGCCATCCAAGCACAATAACTTCTGTTCTTTTATAGATAACTTGATACCTGATGACACGAAGGATTATCAGAAAAAATCCTACAGGGAGAAGGTAAAGTTGAAGCCCCATGTCACCTTCTGCTGTGAGTATCCGGCCAGCAGGGGCAGGTGATGCTTCTTTGGGGCTGGGGCGTTTGGTGTCCTGCAGGGTAAACCTTTGCAGGTGCAGCACTGTCGCTGTGCCCTGGAGGCAGTACAGTTAGTGCCTGACTTGGCAGTATTTTCATGGCTATTTTAGGCAGAGTCACCATCCCAGGGACTTCCTGCCCCTTGCAGACCAGCACATCCACGCACAGCTTTTACCCTAGGAAGTGTTTGAAGTTTTATTAGAGGATGTGGCTTGTGCTCTCTTGGGTGAGCAGGGTGCTCTGATGAGTGTCTCTCCTGCACAGGTGGATTTGTGCATCGAGGCCTTTGGCACCAGCAAGCAGAAGCGAGCACTGAGCTCTCGGCGCATGAACGCTGTGGGCAGTGACATCGTGAGCACGGCTGTCACAAAAGCAGCAGCAAATATCATAGATGCAAAGGGAGTTACAGGTGAGAGGATTCTGTCTTGAGGTTTAAGGGTGGTAACCTGAATGGTCTTTTCCTGTCCTTGGCAAGTGTGGAGTGACTGAAGAAACAGCTGGTCTAACAGCTGAGGAAGGCACCCATGGGGGAACTGCTTCCTTCTGCTCCTGCTGGACTTGGTGTGGGAGTTGCCTGAATGAGGGAAAGGCCCTGTGACATCAGTGGAACTTTTGTGGGAGTGCCTGGATATGAGTTCTCTGGGATAAAGGCAGTGTCCTTAGTCTGCACTCAGTGGCATGGCTGTGGAGAATGGCACAGCCTTACCTCAGAGACTGCGCCCTGGGGACAGGTCACAGCGTGGTGCAGGGTCACCATCTCTGGGGATTTCCAGGCTGTGGCAGGACAGAGCTGGCGCCATCCTGACTTTGTGCTGTGGACTCCCCTATACTGAGCAGGAGGGCTGACAGGAGCCCTCCAGAGCACTTCTGGGATGCTGAGTGTCATTGGCTCGCTCAAGAGAGGTGTCTGTTGACTGTAGAACACGCTAGCTTTCATCCTTTTTGTGCCAGGGTGGATATTGACAGTGACCCCAGAGCTGCTTTGGGTCAAGTAGGTGCCCACTAGAACTCAGCGTGCCAAACTGTGCTCTGCCCATCGTGCAGCAGCCAGACATCTTAGTGCCCTTCTTTCCTAAACGTTTCTCTAGTCTTGAATGGTTTTTCTAAATTTCAAGGAGCAGAAGGTTCTTGATAGAAGTTTTAAATGTTTAAGGCTCCAGCTGTGACTAAACTGATGTTAACACAAGAGCTACGATTGAGTAGGCTTGCGTCTGAAGGGAGGATTTGGATTGTGTTCCTGTTCTCTGCATTTTGCTTTGCACAATCCAAACAGCCCCTTCCTGTTTCCCTCCCAAGCTCTGGTGCAGGATGCGGCCCAGGATGACGTGCAAACCATCTCTGCCTTCCTCCCGCCGTGCCACGAGGATGCAGACAGGCCAGAGCACGTGTACAAGTTTGAGGACAGTATCTTTTCTGGGTCACAGGGGTTTCCTACATCTGTGAACCTCCATGTGGCCATCTGGAGCGAGCCCACCTTTACCTCTCACAGTGCAAAAGCTGGGGCCAGTATAATGTTGTGTTGAGGTTTTGGGGCCTGCCCCTTTCCAACAGGGAGCAGGATTCTCTCCCTGCTGGCAGCAGTTGCACTGGGAATAGTGGTGAAGCTGGCCATGCAGAAGTGCCACAGTCTGTTAGAGGCCTTGGTTCCTGGCTGGGTTCCATTCCCCTGCCCTGCCCACCCCTCCCAGAGTGAGTGTGGACAGAGCTGCTGTTCCTGGAGGAGAGAGCCCAGGCCTGTTCTGTTCCTTAACGCCCTGCCAGTCCTGTCCCCCGCTGAGTACGAGGCGCTGCGGGTGCCAGCGGCTGCCCTGGCCAGCGCCACCGCGGAGGACATCGCCAAGAAGGCAGAGGAGAGGAGGTAAAGCTGCTGCCAAGGGCCATGTCCTGACTGGGGGCAGGAGAGCTGCCCTGGGGCAGAGGGGAATGTGTTCAGGCGTGGCTGAGCAACCCCTGCTTTGGGAAACAGGGAGGAGAGTTGTGTGCACAGCAGTGAGGTGCTTTTTGTGGAGCTGAGCTCCCCTTGTCTCTCCTGCAGCCACTGCTCCTTTGTTTTGGAGGAGCTGAAGTTCCTGCCTGCTGATGAGAAGAGCAGAGACCACAAAGCCCGATGCCTCTGGTTCCTGGACACCCTCATTAAGTTCAGCCACCTGAAAGTGATCAAGAAGAAACGTAAGAGAGTTTTCAGCTCATACAGATGTGCTTTTGGGAATGTCTTCAGCATCCCCAGGTGCCTGAGCGTGGGGATTTCTCCTGTCCTCAGGGTCCTGCTTTTGAAACAGAATCATACAAAACACTTGGTTGAGATTTTCCAGGCTTGCCAGTCTTCCATGGAACTTGTGTATCTGAATGTCCTTGTCAGTCCTTGGCAGGGCAGATGGAGGAGGAAGTGGAAAGCCTGGCTGTAGTATCCTGTGTCCCTGGGGACACAGGAGTCACCCACAGGACTACTGAGGAGAATGTGGGAATGACTAGTGTTGGTGGTAATAGGGACTTGTAAATGTGGTCACAGCTTTATTATTTCAAAAGAAATACACATGTATAGTGTAGAAGTGGAAGATCCCTTTCACGAAGAAAATAAAAGCTTTAAGGAGCCTCTCAGACCTGAAAATTATGAGACCTAGAAGTCAAGGGCCCAAGCTTCTCTTAAGGGTCACTGTGTTCCTGGGAAGAGGCAATAAATGGTGGGATCCTTGGGGTTGGACACAAGTATCCTTG